AATCACGCTGGCCACATGATCACCCCTGTAACCCATGCTCACCAATTTATCAATCAGTTCATTGTAGGGATGGTTGCGCATGAATTGAGGTGGACGGCCCATAAGATTAGGGCCAGCATTCGGCTGTGGACCCTGAAGTGGAACACTTGTCGGAGGATAGCCACTGCCTTGAGGAAAATGAGGGGGTTGTTGAGAAGGGGGAGGAGGATGTGCCCTTCCAGCTTCTCCTTCATACATCATATAAGCATTCCCCGGAGAGAGGGTAGGGTGGGGTCCAGAAGTCGTGTATCCATCGTTGGGCTGTACTCCAAAACTGCTCTTGAGCTGCTGAGGTGGAGGCTGCTGTTGCTGCTGCTGAACTGTTCTACCGGGCCCACCGTATCCGTAAGGCATTGGTTCGACATGGCTTCCTAAATAGGACACTTGCATTGGCATGCTGTTTGGGAGCGTCTCTGGTGGGGACGGGTTTGCAGGTTGACTTGGTAGGTAAGGAGGGTATGTTGTTGACATGGGCCTAATCTGGGGTTGTTGCATAGATGACTGTGGTGGTGGTGTCACCTGCTGGGCCCACTGCTGCTGATACTGAGGTAACTGGTGCACCTGTGGTGCCTGATTCACTTGAGTTTGTGCTGGCTGCGGTGCTACCCTTGACATGTCCTGCATTTGGGGAGTTCGATATGGAGAATCGGATGGTAGATATTGAGTCTGAGATAGCTGGGCTGGACCCGGTGGATTTTGAATCTGGGCTGAAGGTAAATAATATGCCTGTGATTGGCTCACACTCTGTGGTGGAGGTGGTGGCATAGGCTGCTGTTGCTCCACAGGTCTGGTCGGAAGTGGTGGCTGTGGGGCAACTTGATGGGGTAGGGCAAGAGCTAATTGCATGTCTGGTGTGTTATCAGTCCTTTTGGGATCAGAAGCTGGTGGTGTAGCCCTGTCCTCGTTCTGCTGGGAGTGGCTCACAGAAGAGGATTCTTTTTGTGCAAGCTTAAGCTTGGCAAGTTCTTTCTGTGTTTCAGCAAGTTCTTGCTTGTCTCTTAGGATCTGTACAGACCTGTGTGCAATGGACACCATACAGAGAATATTCTAATTGCTTTATTTAATTGAGGAAGTGGACTATTATAAGACCAATTTATGAATTGAAAAGGAAAGCAAATAACAAATCACATCTATAAAGATGAGGGCAGCTGACATCAGAATCATACAGCAACAGGGCAAGCTTAAAAAAAAAAAATGTAATTTTAAAAGCTTACTATATTGAATTTTGAAAGGAGCATTACTATAAATTTTGAAAAAGATTTCTATATTAGTTATAGCATAGATAACGTAACCATTTGAAAGGTTTTTACAAATTTTAGATTCTGTTAAATTGTTTATCATATTTAATGACACATAATTTTAAATATTGAAATATTAAAATATATATATTTTTAAAAATCATAAATTATGGAATAAGTAGAGTTTTTTTAATTATTATAATTAGATTTTAGTAATTGCTTCCATATTAGTGGCACACAAATTTAAATTTTAAATAATTGTGTATACTTTCTTTTTAGAAGTTGTAATTTGTAGAATAATTAGAGTTTAAGTATTATGATTAAATTAGAGTTAACCAATATACTTTTTTAAAAATAAAAATAATTAAATTTTAGTGAATTGCTTCCATATATAGTGGCATATAAATTTAAATTTTGAAATAGTTGAGTTTACTTTCCTTTTAAAAATCGTAATTTATGAAATAATTAGAGTTTTATTATTATTATGATTAAATGAGAGTCTAACCAATAGAATATTTTTTATTATTTAAAAATTAAAAAATTTAGTTTGATGGTTTAGAGCTCCCATAAGTCTTATCATTAGAAACATCATTTTCCTTATATAATATATAGATAGATAGATAAATAGATAGATTGGATAGTTATGATAGGATAAATGATATGCTAGTTCAACTTCACACGCATTAGCAAATTCCAAGGGATTAGAGGACAAAATCAGAAGCCAACATTAATTTTGATATTAGCAAAAGCAAAACTTAACTAAATTGTCTTCTCTTTTTTTTTTTTTCTTTTTTCTTTTTTTTTCCCTCAAAATCCGTCTACTTTTCAAGATATACCAAATGAGTTTTAATTGAAAAATATTTTTCACATTTTCTTTTCATTTCTTTCTTAATAATTCTATGTATTTGTTAGCAAATATTTGATTTGAATAAAATCGATAGAGAAAATAAAAAATTTACAAAACATAATAGACCAAGCTGTGGGGTTATATTTTGTGAATGACAGCATGTGGCCAAGGTGACGCCGAAGTGTCAGCCGAGGTGCCACATGGCCTGGTCTTGATACCGAGGTGATCTCGGCTAGGCCGAGGTTATCTGTGGAGATACCGGAATCCAACATAAATGGATAAGGGACAAGAGTCCTAGAATTGGGGAGAATCTCAATCTGAATAAAGATAAAACTCTTAGGGAGTTTATCCATGTCTAGTTGAGAGTCCAAGATGAGCATTGAGCCTGAATCCACTAAAGTGAGACTTTTACAGGGATCAGGTCAATGCTGGTTATAAAAACAGGGCATCCTCGTGTGTCTAAGGTATGCTTTTTTATGTTCTATCTAGTGAGTTAAGCACTATTTGTTATCTTTGAGAGATATTCGATTACTGACTTGATCGTCGGAGTGCTCCCGGGTGGATGAACCACCGCCGAATTCTCATCCTCTTTTACAGGTTGTTAGGCTTAATCTATTCTGCCGGTACTCTCCAGCTGAGTTCTCCTTTTGGTTGTGTGGTCAAAAATCAACACCCACAATTTGGCGCCGTCTGTGGAAAACGTAAAGAGAATAGATAGCCAAAGACGGTCAGGAAGAAAAGATCAGGGACGACATCCCAAGTGGCAGTGGTAAGCATACTGACCCAAACGTGGAGGAAGAAAACCATAATGAAAGAGCACGGGATCAGAATCTCGGGGAGAAGGACGTCGGCCAAGAGGCAGATGCAATGAAGAAATCAGGCCGAGATGAGTATTACAACGAAAGCGACCTCTAGGTATGGAAAGATAGATGCCTAAGTAGGGACGGCGAGATGAGGGGGATGTAAAACAAGTTGGCAGACCTACAATTGGTTGTCAACTTCATGATGCAGAACAATGTCATGCAGCCACCGTTTCCATTAAGGTACACGCCGATCCTAGTGGCCAAGAACAACGCCCAGAAAGGGGGGGCAAAAAACAGTCCCAGCAGTCCCTCAGTATGAAAAGATGAAGGAATGTTCACATCGACCTTCACGGGATGCCAGGCAAGCAGAATCAATAAGAGGAGAGTCTTAGAGGACACCTTGTACCAAGGGAACTTACGTTAGGGAACATCAGCACATTCAGGAAAAGGAACTTTGTTTTGACATGGTGAATGAAAAAAAGTCCAAGAGGACGCATAACGACATCGGGAGCAATGCACCAAAGAGGCTGAAATCTGTTGATAGCCAAACTCCTAGTCGGACTAACGAGGATTTAAGGGACTACATCCAGAGGAAACAACAAAATGCCAAGGTCACATCACCCGTCAAGTCGAAAACATCGTTCTCAGTAGAGTTGGATAGGTTTGAGGCCCCAAAAAGGTTCCATATGCCGAGGTTCCAGATAAATGACGGTAAGTTGGATCCAAACTTTCACGTCTGCATATACCTAAATTCAATAGCCTTATATACTGGGAACGAACCATTGTTGTGCAAGGTGTTCTCTTCATCCTTTGGGAAAATCGTATCAAATTGGTTTCACAAGTTGCCGAAAGGACCTGTGAAGAGTTGGGAAGGCCTGGGCGAGATGTTTGTGGCCAAGTTTGTTACGAACAAATTGCAGCCGTTGAGGGTAGACTCCCTGATGGCTTTGAAAATTGGCGAGGGTGAAAGCCTCAGGGCTTATGCCAAAAGGTATTATGAGTTATTCAACTGAATACCAAGATGTAACCAGGAATTGGCGGTCGTGTCTTTTAAGAACAGCCTGGAGGATGACTGCATGCTTTGAAAGTCAATGGCAAAGACTCTACCAAAGAGTATGGAGGAGTTCATGGCAATGATTGAGAAATATGCCAGAGCAGAAGATGATACACCAAGAGCAAAGGCACCGAAGCAGTAAAAGAGAAACGGCTTGCCGAAGCGAGGCTGAGGTAATACTGGATTTAATAGACAAGAAATAAGACTAGAGGCTACATAGGTAGTCACTACTGTGTTCCGGATCCCGGTTTATAAAGTTCTAGAAAGGATCAGAAACCAATCGTATTACAGAGCGCTGGAGAGGATCCCTGGTGAATTTATGGGGAGAAGTCTAGGGAAGCACTGTGCTTACCACAATGAAGATGGACACCTGACGCAGGGTTATAGAGCCCTAAAGGCACATTTAGAAGATCTAGTCAGACAAGGTCACTTAAGGGACCTAGTAGATGAGGCCAGAACGAGGGAAGAGCAGGCAAGGCTGTCTCAAGCATCGGCAGCACCACCTCTACCAGCACCACAATAACAAGCAAACAGACCTTGAGTGATCAACGTGATTCACTCGAGGATCAATGAGAACGAGATACATGGGGAGACTCAAAGGGTGATGCCCTTACAACATGTGTATCAGGTCGAGCAAAAGAGGCCTAGGACAGACGAGTACCAGAGACCAATAGTATCCTTTACTAAAGCAGGACTAGACATGGTGCAGTATCCGCATAACGATGCTCTAGTAGTAACCCTCAAAATTGGAGAATGCCAGGTGAGGCGCATTCTGATTGACCAAGGTAGATCTTGTGACATCATGAATGTTAGATGTTACAAGGAGGTCAACCTTCACCAAAATGATTTGGAGCAGGCCAACAGCCTAATGGTCGGGTTCAATGAAACGCTGACATGGCCCCCTGGGAGCAATGAATTTGGAGGTGCAGGCAGGCACCAAAAAGGTAAGTACAGAGTTTACAGTAATTGGCACCCCCTCTCCTTACAATGTTATCTTAGGGAGGCCATGGTTACACGCAATAAGGGTTGTTCTCTCAACACTGCACCAGCTGTTGTGGTTCCCAACAGAGCATGAAATTGAGAAGGTCAGAGAGGATCAGGTGCAAGCAAAGAATTACTTCATGGTAGCAATGAAATCCACCTGCAACGTGAGAGAGGCATAAACAATAGAAATTGTAGATAAGGACATACAGGTCGTGGATGACATCGGCAAAGAATCAACCAACAAAAGTGAGGAAGCCTTGAGGAAAATTCTGGTCCAACAAGGAGATGAAGAGCGTTTCTTCCTTCTTGACTCAGGCTTGGCCGAGAAGAAGGAAAGGAAGTTAGAAGCTTTCTTACGGGCCAACATAGAAGTATTCGCCTGGACACCATACGAGATGCCAGGCATTGACCCTGAGGTCACATGCCATATGCTTAATGTAGGCAGGTCGACTAAACCTGTCATCCAGCGAGCGAGGAGGCCGACGTTGATGCATGTTGTGGCAGTTAAGAAGAAAGTGGACAAACTGCTAGAGGCCAAGGCCATTCGCGAGGTAAACTACCCTACTTGGCTGTCCAACACTATGGTGGTGAAAAAGAAGAATGGTAAGTGGAGGGTTTGTGTTGATTTCACCAGCCTGAATAAGGCTTGCCCTAGGGACAGTTTTTCACTTCCCAAGATTGACCAGTTGGCGGATGCCACTTCAGGGCATGGAAAGATGAGCTTTTTGGATGCTTATAGGGGATACCACCAGAGAGCAATGTATCCTCCCGATGAGGAGAAGACTGCATTTATCACCCCAAAAGGGCTGTATTGCTACAGAGTGATGCCTTTCGGTTGAAAAATGCAGGAGCAACTTACCAGAGGTTGGTGACCAAGATGTTCAGACATCTGATTGGCAAAATAGTGGAAGTGTACATTAATGACATGGTCTTGCAGACCAAAGAACCTGACAATCACCTGGCCGACTTAAATACAGTTTTTGACATCCTGATGACGTATCGGCTCCGACTCAATGCTTCGAAGTGCGCATTTGGAGTTGAGTCTGGTAAGTTCCTGGGATACTTGATTACCAAAAGGGGCATTGAGGCAAGCCCAGATCAAATTAAGGCTATCATGGACTTGA